TTCTTCTTCAAGTGTCTAGGGGACCTCTTGTCTCCAGAATCCCAGTCGATCCAATTGATACGACCAAACCTAAAAGTAGGGTCTTGCTGCATATCCATTTCGTGGATCTTAATAAAAGATTAATTACTTCTGTTTCTCTGATGGCAGAATGTTCCCTTGATTGAGTTTGGGTTGCCCTATAATGCTAGCCAAATTGTTTTTAGTTTCGAGTTCTTTAGATTTTTGCAAAATGGAGTTAGTATATCGTGTTTGGAATTTAATGCGCTCATGACAAAAGCTTGGATTTTTTTTAAAGAAAAGTTTAGCTTCATGTAGAAGTGTCTTCATGCATCCTCGAGATAAGCCATGAATATTTTATCATTGTGGTTCTGTGTCTAGTCGTCAATGAAGCTTCTGTTTTGGTTTGTTTCCAACTTTTTTCAGTTTGTTGTTTCATTAGTAGTTGCTGGACTGTGATTCTTGATTGTCCTTAATAGTTGCTAGACTGTGATTCTTGATTGTCCTGAACTTCTTTTGAAATGTTATTTTTAGGATGATAATGATGAGCTTCGCCGCTCTCCGGGGACCCTGTTTTTACTGCACCTGAGTGCTGTTTAGGTTAAATATCACTTTCTTTTGGAAATTTTATTATTTGAGCTCGGTTCTTGAGGGCTATTTAATAATAACTGCATCTTGGTATGTGGATTTCATTCTGCATAACAGGCTTAACCTATCGTGGCAAAGCTGCTGACACGTGGGCAGTTGGAGTTACCTTGTACTGTCTGGTGTTTGGACAATACCCCTTTCTTGGAGACACACTGCAGGATACATATGACAAGGTCTGTGGGTTGCTCTAGTTGTTTTCTTAACTTCTTTCGCTGGTACCACTTTCGCTGATACAACTGGGGTCCCTCCCTTCCCCCATCCCTCCATCTTTTGTTTCTTTGTCTAAATGGAGTTGTTTTGTGTTCCCTAGATTGTTAATAATCCTTTGTCTCTCCCTGATGGTATGAACCCCTTACTGAAGAATGTGCTTGAGGGGCTTCTCTGCAAAGGTTAGTCTCTGTATATAATCATTGAAATCTATCTTTTTTCCAGCTGATTGTGATGGAACTTCTGAAATAGTATCTTTTCTTGTCTGCTGGTAGCTCATAACTGTTGTCATTATGTTTCTTTTATTTCAATTTTTTTTCCTCACAAGTTTGTATTGTGCAGACCCAATACACAGGATGACTCTTGAGGCTGTTGCAGAGCATGCGTGGGTCATTGGAGAAGATGGACCTATTCCGCACTATCTGTGTTGGTGCAAACGTAACCGGTTGCAGATGGTAGGATCTGATGAGAGCCAAGCCGATACTCTTATTTAAGCATACTAACAGAACTGTTTAACTCGCTTGGATTTGTTTTTTTTTTTTTTTCCCCTGCAGTAGCTAGGGTTTTTGACTCTGACCTATGAGGTAAACATGTAAAAGCTAAACAAAAAGGGTATGTAAGGAAAGATTTAGAAATAGAGGATCTAAGAGCTGGTGGACACTAACTCATGATCCGAGAAAATGCAGAAGAGGTACATGATGGGGATCAAGATGATGCCTTCTATATGTCATTTTGCGAACCTTCTTGTTCATTTCAGGTATCTTGTTTTCCTTTCAATGCTGTTCAGAATCAGACTCAAGGACTGCCTTGCCAAAGTCCTTATCCCATGAACCAGGAGCCCTCAAGAAAGGCCTAGAGGTCTGCTCATAAGTCCACTTGCAGATGCCAGATCCCTGGTTGATCTTCACCCACTAGGCTTGGGATGACCTACTTCTCACAAGTTGCTTTTACCCTAACCTAATACCTCCTCTCCGGTCTCTGCATATTTCTGCCCCCTGCGTAAGACAACAGCCTGAGTCGTTTTCAGAAATGTCTTGAGGGGTTACTACGGTGTAATGAACTCATATTTAGTGGATGTTAAAGTAGTATACATAAAATTAAAAGTTTTGGAGTGTTAATATCTTTTAGTGGATGGGTCGTGACCAAAATTTTGGTTACCATGAGAGAAGAAGAAAATTTGGTGCCTACAAGAGAGTGGGGTGAATGCCTATTAGAAATCTTTGAAGCGATGTAGGAGGGACTAAGAGAGCAGATATTTTTTCTAGTTTTGGTCTCATTTTTTCATTGTCTCACTTTTTTATTTTTGGTTCAATGGATAAAGGTGTTTGGGTTAATTTGTATGTACTTTGACTAATTTTTTATAGGTCATTTACGTTGGGATCAAGGTATTCATGAGGGATAAATTTTTTATGACTCGAGTTTTGTGGATTATTAAGATTTGAACTCAAAATGTTTGATTTTAGGGATTGTTTTTATTATCACTTAAACTATTTCGTAGGGTTGCTCTGTCTCACTTCGATCTAGCTGAAAATGGCAAATCGTAATTTAAGTTGACTAGTGAAAGAGCTTATGTACATGTCATGGCGATTTAAATTGGCTAGTGAAAGTACACAAGACAAATTTATGCCATGTTAATATTTGCTTTATCAATTCTTTATAGGTTACCGATCATAACATAAGATTATGATGAGCTTTTCGGTAGTAATTAATAATTGATTTGAATTCAACTTATTTTAGGCTAACAATTTTTTAGACTCACGTAGAAATCGAACTTGATAGACTTGACTTGAACTTGACAATTTCAACTCATTTATATGTAAATATTCGGACTAATCGCGAATTCGATTCTTTTTGGGTTTCATTTAAGCTTGACTTATTTTTATAAACAAATTGAACTTGAATAATCTTTTAAACTAATTAAAAAAAAAAACAAATTTAACCGCGTTTGAACTTGTTCGATTATCAACCTCAAACTCAAGCATGTAGGAGACAGGTATGAAAGCACACAAGCCCAAAAAGGCAATTATTACATAATTGTCATAATACTGAAGCACAGATAAAGTTTCCTCCACACAACCAGACGAGGAACTTAGAACAAACAAGTCCAACTTAGAACAAACAAGTCCATACATGAAACAAGATCAAATAAAGTTCAACAGAGCCGAGTCCGCAGACTGCAAGAACAATCTCCGTCCACACCTCAATTTATTCCCCGATAATCGGGATAGTCTCCGACAAGAAGGTACGAAATTCGCCAACAGGGATTCAGTTTCCGAACCACTGATGGACAAAGACGCCACTGTTTCTGAGAACCCTGAAGAGGTTCATGCAGTCTCCACATGTAGCACTTTTGCAATCCACAGCATCTGTGCAACGAAGGAAGAGTTCATCAACATGGCATATTGCTCCAGTTTTGAACAATTCCAAGAGAAATTTCAGCTCCACCTCTCGTGCTTTCATCATCAGGACCACAAAGTCTCCATCTTTGATTGTTTCTTTAAACCAGCGAACCAAGTCAAACACTTCTTCATCCAGTGGTGCACTCAAATATTCATCAGAGTCGAGACTGGCAGTCACACTATCTCCTGCAAGACTAGGGTCGTAAACAAAGTTGATACGAGGGTTTTTTTTCACATAAGAAGAGAGCACAGAAGGGTCATGATCAACGACGAAAACATTGAATGCTTGGGGTGGATAGGATAATAGTGCTTAAACATTTTTGCAACAGTGGAATTTGTGAATTCCCCTGCACCTACATTGACATATATTAACCTATTTCTTGATGAAATATTCATGAAATTGGGCAGATATGAAAGCTCTGTTTCAAGTTGTCCTGCTTTTTCATCTACAAGAGGCTCGATGTACTTCATGAAAGGCTTGTTGTTTTCAACCGAAGGGCACTCTTGAGGAAGCCGGAAATGCTCAAGGGCAGTGACACTCTGAAGCCTTTTCTTGAAAATTACCAGAGTACAGGAACCAATACTGCACACATGAACCACATCGGAACTTTTCAAGAACGATGAAACTGGAGTTGCAGACCTTATCAAGTTGCTTGTGTAGAAGCTCCGGGAGCCCACAAGCATAGCACCAGCCCCACCAGGCCTCAAAACACGTTCAATCTCAAGCAAGAGAAGAGCTGGAACGGACACCCTATCAACAGCTCTAGAGAACACAAAATCAAAGTAATCATCTTTGAAGTCCAGTTCATACACGAAACGTTTCCGGAATAGGGAGAAAAATGGGTGTCTATCAACACCAAAAGCATCGAATAAGCCCAATTCTCGCAATGCCAATACATCATAGGCCGACCCCTTCCCAACACATAGAACTTTTGCACCAGAATCCAACAAATCCATCTCCATCAGCTCTTTAAACACTTCAACAGTCAAATTTTCACTCTCTTTGCAAGGTACCAACCAAGACGCTCCGAAGAGAGGGAATGCCAAAGCAGATCCGGGTTTGAAAAATCCGGTGAGATTCACATAAGCATTTGAGCGAACATTCAAGGGGCAATCATCGAAATTCAACCTGGGTTGCTCAATTATGCGAACCTCTTGGGCAATTTGGATAAACGAAATAATTAGCATAGCCAATGAGAATAAGAAAGCTTTAAGAAGCAAACGCCTGGCCAATGACCCATGTAGGATTTGCCATTTCAAGACCTTAAGATCCATTTCGGATATAAATTGTTCTACTTTCTCCGCAAACTTTCGATAGATTTTCAGGTGTCTTTTCGAATATCAGATCCGTAGAGCAACCGGATTGTGGATAAAGCTTTGATTTTTACCACAAAAATCAGATAAAAAGATCGAAATTGAACCACACAGACTAAAGGTTATAAGTGATTAACGAGAACAAAACCTGGAGGAAGTGTGATTACCACCCACGAGTAAGCCCATTGATTTTTGGAACCCTAACCAGACCCTCCTTGGAACCCTTCTTGTCATTGGCATATACCACTTCTGACCCATCTTGAACCCAAGAAACATGACTGAATCAAAAACCTACATGATCAAAAGAACGGAAAACTTCACAAAAATCACATATCACACGACTATATTAAGGATCAGATTTGGCAATGGAACAGCGTGTGACAGTGAGCTCTGGATCTGAGAGGAAGAACTCCGTGTTGAGAGACTCTGGCTGTGAGTAAAGAAGTTTGTACATTAAATAGAGCTAACTGTGCTTTACACTTAAAAAGAATTTTTTATTTGGGTTAATTGCAAGTTGTATTTGAAAAAGAGTTTGAATTTTAATTTATATCTTTAAAGATCAAAAATTTTAATTTATACTCACAAAAATAAAATTTATATCAATGTGCACTCCAAAGATAAAAAATCTCAACTTACACCCTCAAAGATAGAAATTTGTATCAATGTGCACCTCCAAAGATAAAAAATTTTAATTTACACCCTCAAAAATAGAAATTTGTATCAATGTGCATCTAAAATTAAATTGATAAATTATACTTAGATCCCCTCATGTTTGTCACTTAATCATTTGGACCCTTCATGTTTAAAAATTACTCCCACATTTCATAGCGTTTGCACACGTGTAACACGTAACCATTTTTCGTTGATATCTGTTAATATAAACGTTAAAAAATATGATTTTATCCTAATAAAAAATTATAATTTCATATTACTCTTTTTTTATAGGTCTAATATACTCTAAAATTTAAAATCAAACTACCATACATTAAAAAAAAGGGTAATATGAAATTATAATTTTTTATTATAATAAAATCATATTTTTTAACGGTTATATTAACAGATATCAACGAAAATGAGTTATGTGTTACACGTGTACAAACGTCATGAGATGTAAGAGTAATATTCTAAATGTGAAGATGTTCAAATGATTAAGTAACAAGCATACGGTATCTAGGTATAATTTATCAATTTAGTTTTAGGTGCACATTGATACAAATTTATATTTTTGAGGGTGTAAATTGAGATTTTTTATTTTTGGGGTACACATTGATACAAATTTTTATCTTTGAGGGTATAAATTGAGATTTTTTATCTTTAGGGTGCATATTGGTACAAATTTATATCTTTGAGGGTGTAAATTAAAATTTTTGATCTTTGAGTGTACAAATTAAAATTCGAATAATCTTTCAGAGTGTAATTTATAATTAACCATTTTTATTTTATATCTTTAAAAATTAAATTTTTTGTATTATACTCTCAATATATTATAATATATTCAATCATTCACTATTTAATTAGAATGGCAATGTTGGTTGATAGACTTGTCAACGTGTGAGAGGGTGAGTAGAAATTGCTCGACTTGAACCATTAATGTTGTGGTTGGCTTAGTTAGACTCGGTTCGTTGATAGTGAGTCCTTGGTCCAAGTTATGGTTAGAATTGAACCTTTGCCGCGATAAAATATGCATAATAAAGATATTATATTATTATTATTACGTAATTTTATTATTTAATAATAAATAAATAAATTTAATTTATATTAATAACCGTCCTCTATGTGATTGATAATTACTCAATATATAAAAAAATATATACTATATTATATTTTCTATTAAATCGTGACACCACCTTGCATTAATGGTGCGTTGTCCCATGTATTAAATATTGACTCCATCGGTATATGGAATGGTAGATACAATCGGTTATGGGTAAATTATACTAACACCCTTTACTATATTTTGATATTTTCTCTGCACCCCTTGTTGTTTACACAATTACACTAACCTCCCTTTTCAGAGTAATCACTTAAACGACCTTGACTACTATCGTAAAGTTACAATTTTGTCCTCTCTTATTTTAATTTTTTTCTTTTTGTTTGAAGACCTAGTTTATATTAATCAATTCTACTCAATTTCTCATCACAAATTTCAACAAACACAAACCATTAAACACCAAAAGAGATCTAGAATCAAGAGTTTTATGCCTAAAATTTTGAATCTTTAAGTGTTAAAAAATAAGATTTGCACCTAAACTCCATATTCGCATTCGGTGTTAACTCGTGTTTGGTGTTTGATAAGTAAATAGTGAAGTAAGGTATTTGTTGTTTAATGGAGGGTTAATAGGATGTATGATGTTTTGTATGGATTCTTGAGGTTATTTAGGGCATGCACGAAGAAATCCAAACAATGTTTTCTAAGGTTTGGTTTTGGGGTTCAAACCCATATTTTTGGTTCAATGTTAGTTACTTTTTTGCTTTAAAAGATTTTCAGGTTAATTTACGGCTAAAATCATTAAGTTTTTGTCATTGAAATTTTACGGTTTTAGGAAATCAATGGTAATTTTTTTTGCTTCTTTGGTTTTTTTTTTATTTTTGCCATTTAAAGATAATTGTATACCTTGACAGATAGTTAACTAAATGGTATTAATTTTAGTGATGTTTTAACATGTATTTAAACACTACAGAAATGGTCAATGGTTCTATGGTTTTTGAAATCCAATGTTATTTGTTGATTAATTGCTTTGATTTAAATTAGTTGTGATGTTTTACCTTGTTTTTAAAATTAAATGAAATTATTTTACGTTCTTAATTCGATTTTCATAGGTGTAATTCAATAATGGTTTTATATCGCTGAAAATATTTCATGTTTTTTGTAAATAACAATGTTTACTGTTGTTCAATGTTTATAATAGACTTTTTGTGTAGTTATTTTCTAATAGGTATTTTTTTAAGTTGAGAGCAAAATAGAAAGTTTAAGTCAAAAAATTTGTTTACTTCATGACAGGCCTTCGATCTGTTGCTTGAAGGGGTACCTATTAAAATCTATCACATCTAAGGGAGGTCAGTGTAATTGTGTAAACAATAGGGGATGCAGTGAAAATATTAGAAACAGTAAGGGGTGTCAGTGTGATTTGCCCATCGGTTTTTAAAAGTGCTATTCAGTTTGACGCAATAAGGAGTTGGTGTTTTCTATTTTCTTTCTCAGAAATTTGGTGATTGCGGGCGGCTCTTGCCCAAAAAGGGTGTACGGGTCTTTGATTGTGGTGCACCGACATTCAAATAAAATATATGTCCATTTATTTTCACTGTCCCATTCATATACAACAGCAAGAATCGTACAGATTTTTGTCGATAATATCTTCATTTTATAGAATGCCACAACTGGTCTTAGGTACAAATCTGTATATCCATATAGAGGTCCATGGGCTGAGTTGGGTCAGGTCCGTGAAATTTTTCGGGTCAGACTGAATAGTGTAAATCCAAACCTTTACTCAAGTGAATTATTGGACGAGTCTGATCGGACTTTGGATAAAGATAGGCTACTCGCAACCCAACTTGAGAGCCTATTAAACAGGGTGTGGGCGAGCCTTCTGAACGCACCCGCTTACGAATTTTTTTATATACAACTTCATTTAAAAATAATCAATATTTTTGTAACTTAATATTTACGTAAATTATATTTTTCAATCAAAAGTAGAATCTAAATGGATAAAAATAAAAATAATGAATACTTTTATTTTTGATAGGGATAAATTACATCTAATAGAATGAATACATTCCAACTAAATTGACACCTACTCACTTATCTATCAATTATAATACTCTACCCTTTAAAACTTGTATGCTTAATAAATGAAAATAAAATAATGCATTATTTATAGTATCTAAAATTTTAAAACTTTAAATTCCGATATTGGGAGATTTATTTCAAAATTTTAAATTTAATGGTCTAAAAATATAATTTTTTTCAAAGAAGGGTGGGCGAGCTAGGCTTAACAAGCGGGCTCTTGGGTCGGGTTTTAACAGGTTTTTTTGGACAGGCTATTAGGTTGAGTTTTAAGTGGGGTAAGGGGTTTGTGAACAAACTCAAGTCCTCTTTTAAAGATATTGGGCTCGACTAGGACAGGTCAACTATCCGGCATATTGAATTTTGGATCTATTTTTTTCGGATCGAGTAACAGGACCCGTAGATAACCTGGCCCATGGACACCCCAATATTCATAAATTGGGCACTCAATAATAATAAGATAACGAGACACTCACTTCAACCCATATTAAAAATGGTTAGTTAGTTGTATTTGGTGACATTTCATCTAAAGATTTTTTCCAACTTTGTCTGTGTGTCTAAAAACCTATTTTTTATTTAAAGCACAGTATTCAATTTTGCTCTGTTTGATGTGTAAACTAAGGGTAACTTGTACCTAAAAGTACGGTATAATGTGAATAATTTTTAGAAGGATGTTAGTGGTCGTTAGATGAGTCTATTTGAAATCATCGAAAAAAATTATTGAAATCTATCCTACGTTAGATGAGTCTATTTGAAATCGTCGAAAAAATTTATTGAAATCTATCCTATTTTATATGATAGATTTAAGTAAAAAACAAGAAAGTTTAATGGTATACTGATAAATTCATATACAAAAAACAGGAACAACTAATTGAGTGGGTGGCTACAAGATTTATAAGATTAACCTATTGATTTTGATTTTGTACTTTCATCAATTTTAATTATTAAATAAAAAATAATAAACTTACAAAAATTTGAAAAATAAAAAATATACACATGATATGTTTTTATTTGTTACAAAATGTAAAAGTACAATATTAAAATTTTTTTTTTACAATATCGAAAATAATTTTTTTGATATCATAATAATTTTTTACGATGCACAAAACGGCCTTATGCAAGATCAACAGTCGAGTGTATGATAAAATGTAATTAATGAGCAATTAATAGACCAATC